CCGTAAAAAAACAAATCAGTCAATCAATCAAACCGACCTTCTTCAGGTATCTATTGATCCAGGTAAAATTTTTAAAAAATTAGACTGAACCCCTTTATTTAATCTATGGGGTTAAATTTTTCTTACTCTGTTGGCCATGTATGAGAGTACCTCGTTTTCTTATTTAGTTCTGCTCAATTATTGCTCGTCATGTTTCCATTGAATCTGAGTCTGTACTACGTAAATCAAGAATTGATCTCTCAATTACTTTGTCACGAAACACACAGAACAATGCTTAAATCCCCCTCGCTATTGTCTCGTCGAACGAGATTAATCTACCCCTGTAGATTAAATAAAGAGTACGGTTCTAAATTCTCTGAAGGTTACCTTTTCGACAAACATCTTAAGAAATCCGGAAGGCACAACAGTTTTGAAAAGATCAACAAAGATAAGGACATTAGTTCGTAAATAATATGAATAATAATTCCAGATCACGGAAATTCAGACAGAAATTATATTTGTTAATTTATTTGTGAAATGTTACCTTCCTTTTTTACTATTTGTTTATAGCTACCGTAGTTATGAAATGTTTTGCTTGATTCTTGTGATTTTCATTTATCGTTCAACACCAAGTTTTCTATAAACTTTGAAGTTCCACACTGGTGTGTTCAAATTGAAAAACATTTTTGTTAAATATTATGTTAGCTGAGACAATACTGAATCTAGAACATGCAAGCTTAGACTTCATATTCTTATTGTTTGCCTGGGGTTAGCACTTCCTTGCTGTTACGCTTGACCTCCTTCACCTACTGCTTTTCTTTCTTACAGCTGCTGCTGTTACTGAATCCTTTTGCTGTAACAGTTGGGTGTTGTTAATACCCTTTCTCGCCTTATTAAAGGGATGATATCAATCTACTCCTGTAGATTAAATGAAGGGTTCAGATCGAAATTCCCCGAAGATTACTTATATTGACAGATATTTGGAGCACGTGGAGCGAAACGTCTGTATGATAATAAAGATGAGGACAATAATCCGAACTTCAATAACGTATTGATAATTCCTCATACCAGAAATTAAGATAATATTCTCACCTTTGTTGTTTTGATCGCCACTTTACCGCCATTACGTTTACCGGTGTCCATAGTACTCTTGTGGATAAAATACAAGTTCCGATATGATTAAATTATTTCTTTTAATTCTTCGCCCCCAGCATGGTGTCTGTCTGATATGGTACGCTTATTGTTTTTCACATAATTTTACCCGTGGTACGATAATTTTGTACCAGTAATTGAAAAATTCCTACCGATACTTTTTTCGCACTTCTCACCTGTGGACCTCTGTTCTGGCTTCTTGCTTTCCTGTCAACTATGACCTACAGAACTTGTAACATCAATCATCTCTTCGTCTCCTTGAATCATGGTCTTTTATTTTTACTCTCTGTCCTCAATAACGTTTCCTCTCTTTCTTTTAATCTCAGGAAAATTCCTTGTGTCTTTGGTGTTTTATTGCTTTACTTGGGATGAAATGGTTAAAATTATTCTCCCGTAAGTACCACATCTAAGTAATTTTAGCAAGTGACTTTTATTCCAGTTATCAACCTCGAAGAGATCCCGAACTAGTATTCTCGTTTCTTTTTATTCGATCTCTACGTTTCTTTTGGTGTGCTTTCCAACCTTCCAGACAACATTCAAATAAGTTTAAACAAATTCAACGGTTTAGTTTGCATATTGCTTTTGGCTTTTTTACTTGTTTTTCTTTGTTATTATTTTGGCGGATAATTTTCCCTACCACATGAAAGAAAATATTTTTAGGGCTGTAAAAATTCACCATGTCCTTTTGTGACTGTGGCCTAGTCGAACTAAACATTGTTTAGTCAAGTGTTGTTGCCATCTCATGATGACAAAACAATATGCTCTGGCTCAGCAGAAACAATTAATAATTGAAATCACACGAATAAAAATAACACAAAATATATTGATAATTCTTCATCTAAAAAATCTTAGAAAAGTATAATATTTCATAGTTCCTCCCTAAAACTCTTCTATGCTGTATTTATCCCTGATCGTTAATGAGTATGTTTGAAAACACCCGTCGGATTCCTGAAACAACGGAAACTACCGAGCTGTTAATAGTGCGACAAATATTTTAGAAAATCGAAGATATAATGTTGCGCGGCATGCGCAGTATTTTAACATTCGCGTTTCTCTTTCAAACTTGCCGAAAGCACTAATATCGCTGTCTAAAATCTGATACAAGCAAAGAAAATTCATGCCACTAACAGCAGCCTTTCAGATATAGCTAAATTCTTGAAAGTAATCAGGTGAATAAAAAGGACAATAACTGAAAAAGGAAATATGCATGAACCGCATGGGCATATACACGGTAGTGCACACCAGGTTCGCATTATCCGTGATGGCCCTGGGGTTTGTGCGTCATGAGTGTCATGACATGTTTCCCAAATTCTTCTTGCTTCCAGTGAGATCCTAGACATAGTGTTCAATCCTTAGGTAAGTGTCCATACTTGTCCCAGCAGGATTATGCTTAATTTTCTATAGCCTCTGTGACGAGGAGTGACTGAATAGTAATTTTTCGGGATCATATGGCCTCCAAGCTCTCCCGTTTTTTATTCCTTATTACGTCTGGGGCATCTGTGGTAAACAGAGAAACTAAATCACGGCCCCACAATACCAAGAACTCCTTAAAGACCGCCACCGTGGACGTGATAGGAAAATGAACGAAAACCTCTAATTTGGGCAGATTGCAGCTTCCTAGGCCGCATGTAGGTAGTCCTCAAGCTGAGGGTGGTTAATTTAATAAAGTGTGTGTGTGTGTGTGTGTGTGCGTGTGTGTGCTGAATCAAACATATGTACAACTATGGGGAAAATATATTTATTTTTTCAATTATATATCTTCATATTTCTTGATATTATCATTTGTTTTCAACTACTTCAATTATAATATAATGTTCTTCTAATGTATATTCCTATGATAAATTAAATATAATAAGAATCTAATAAGAAAATATCTTAATAAAATAGAACAATTATAACAATAGATTCTGATAAAATTATATGACGTACAGAATATTCTTAGCTTAGATCTTAGCAACCTTAGCATGAGATTTTTTTTTCTTTCTTTATTAAATCGAGAATTCAGTTTTTTTCCTTTAAAGGAAGCAAGTAACGTATGCTCTTGGTATCTGTAGTGGCCAGCATCATTACATGTGCGCATATACAGAGTGCGATGGTTAAATTGTCATCTAAATTACGCAAAAATGAAAATACTACTATTTCATTTTAACTGATATATTTACCAAATTTACACAAAATATATCTTGAAATGCCAAAGAGTAAACTTGTTCAATAAAATCGCCATTGGCTTCAACCACAGCCTCCAGACGACTTCAGAATATCCTGCATCTCTTCTGGATGGTCTCCTTGTTTAAACTGGTGAATGCTGCCATAATCCTTGCCTTCAGTTGATCTTTGGTGTTACAAGGAGTTTCAGCTGCGCCCCACACATAATAATTAAGGGGGTTGCAGTCTGGGGAGTTGGGTAGCCAAATGTAAAGGATGATGTGGTTGCAGAAATTGTCTGACAGTCATGACTGGGTTCTCCATGCAGTCCTGTTGCCAGACACAGGATCTTTCAGCAGCCACCCTCTTGACTTAGAGCAGCACTACCTCCCCAAGACACTTGATGTGGGCCTTCGTGTTGAGTTTGAAGCTATATGGGAAGATGAATGGAGGCATAGTGTCGCCATCACTAGTGATCACTCTAAACATCATTGTAATCACGATTATACTAATCCAACTCTTTCCTAATCTTCTGCACTCTCCTCAGATCGACACCAAGATACACTGAAATGTTTGTATCGGAGCTTCCGGCGCGAAAGCCAAGCAGTACAGCATACTGTTTCCAAAATTCTGGCGGAGTGAATTGTAACATGGTGCTTTTCTTCTCACAGTACCCAACTAAGCTTACTATACTGTGCAGTCGACAAAATAAAACAAACAACACACATAAACGAAATTAAAAACATAAAATGGCGACAATTTATCGATCGCACCTATAGAGAGATTATTATCCTTGTAATTACTAGGTAGAGAAAAATCGAGTGAAATGAAGAATTCTGTCTAAAGTCCCTTGAATATTACCTAACGAGGTAGGTACCGGAAAAAAAAAGTTTGAAAGCACCCCGGCGAAAATTTAATGATGTAGACATTAAAAATGAAGAACCATCTACTTTTTTTCTCTCTGATAGAGTGAAGTTTAATAAAAAGACAAATAATCAAAAGTCTATGCACAAAATAAAGAACAAAGAATATTCTGAGTGTGCTGGAATGAGAACAAAAATGGAATAAGCAAAAAAAGCAGCAGGACAATAAGTTCTTACTTTGATTCTTATGAATTCCAATTCAAAGGCTTTTCAAAACATCTCACAGACCTTTCTATCCATTGTATTCGAGTGTTTCAATCAATTTCAGACAATAAGAGTCAGTTTGTAAGTAAATTTCGGCTCGACGCTACCAAATGATGTATAAACAGTTCCGAAATACAGTTGGTATTTTTTCTCAAGGAAATATCTTGTTAATCCATTTCCACATCGACAAAATTCAAAGCAAATGAAAGCAAAAGAGAATAAAGTGAATCTGCATGCTGCCATATTCCGAATTTCTGTTCGGAATAAAGATTTCAAAAGAAAAAAAATGCTCTCCAGCAAAAAAGTAAAAACAGATAAACCACAAAGCCTATTATACTAATATATAAAGTAGCTCTCCTAAAATAAGGTAAGAATCGTTAGTAAGAATTTTCACCGTCGGCAAACTGGGTAAATATGATAGTTCAAGAGCTGTATCAGGCAAAAAGAAATCAGGAAATAAGCTTAAATGAAATATTTATAGAATTTTGAACAGATACACATGATCCTATATAATTTTTAAATGACAAATTTATATTTTTGATGCTATATTTGATAGTAAAGTATGAAAAGCACGAATTGTTTGTTCTACTGAGACATTTATAATATAGGCAAACAAAAGCATGCATAAATTGACAGATAAAGTAGAGATAGATAGATAGATAGATAGATAGATAGATAGATAGATAGATAGATAGATAGATAGATAGATGTCGGGCTGATATTCCCGCAACGATTGAATAGAAAACAGTTAATTACACACACAGACAAACATATATATGTATGTGTGTATGTTAGGGTGTTCGGAAAGTAATAAAATTACAAACGATATAAAAGCAAATGTAAGTTAAATTTATTTAAATTTTGCTTATCAAATATATAACCACTTTTATTTTGAACGACTTAAGTCCAAAGGCGAAGGTAGATTTTCGACTTCACGTTTAAAGAAATGTGGATATGTCCCTATATATATATATATATATATATATATATATATATATATATATATATATATATATATATATATATATATATATATATATACAGAGTGTGCTGAAAAGTTCATAGGCTGACTATGAAAGAGCTGTAAAAAATTGCATTCATTAATTCCAACTCTTCTTATTAATAACTGTATTGTTTAATTCCAGGTAAATTGACATCTGACTATTTAAAGAAAACTCTTCTTTCTGTTGCTCAAAATTCATCAACAACAGATATGATATGATCATCACTATGGGTGTTTTTTATGTTGGGGAACAGATGATAGTCAAATCAAAAGAATAGGGAGGGTGATCAACTCGGTCAAAGCCATAGTAACGCACAGCAGGTAAAAGCATTATCCTGATGAAACAAGTATCCTTTCATCAGTTTTCCTGGGCATTTGATTTTGACAGCCTTTCGTAACTGCCTCTATAAGTTGACAGAGCACTCTCTATTGATGGTTTGTCCGTTTTGAAGATAGTCAATAAACACAATGTCTTTTACATCTCAAAAGCTGAGACTATCACCTTCCCTGCAGATAAAATGATCTGGCCTTCTTTGTCAGCATAAATGTGCTTGAAAGCTAAACCTTTTTCTGTAAGTACTTGATAACACAACGATACCAAATTTTGTCCATTTTTAACAGAAGTTGCTACTTGTTACATTTGAAGTATTCTTTGAACAGTCATTCGTGCTATGCAATTAATGCCAGAATTCATAGCTTTAGCATCACTTCTTCATAGTCAGCTTATTAACTTTTCAGCCTCCCCTCGTATATATATATATATATATATATATATATATATATATATATATACTGAATGTAAGAAGAGAATTGTCCAAATCGTGTAAAAACAATTTTTTTTATTTGTCAGATTAAGGTTTGAATAGTTATATCTTAGAACTGAATAAAGATATGTTACTGGAATTCTCCGAGATCTTTATAACACTATTGACCTCTACTTTGAGAAATAAGAATGCCTAACAGAAGAATCGTGATTAAATCGATCATCAAAGAAAACGATGTGTTCATCTTTAATTAATCATAGATAAGGATTGGATGCTCATGATGGATTTAAATTAAGTTTATATATATATATATATATATATATATATTCCAGTAACATTTCCAAACTTATTCAGGAAGATCTTTCTGTACTGGAGGAACACTATTCTAACATGTTCAATGTACGATTTCCTTTTTAAGTTTTTTTTTCAGTGCTGTTTGGACTGTCATAGCTGTAAACCCTCTCTCACGTGCCAAACATCTTATGGATTGAGTTGGATCGTTTTTAATTGATCTCTTTAGCTCTAACTTGAAATGATGATCCCCCTTCCTGTTGTGACCTCCTCATCCAGATTTCCTCTCTACTGTTCCTTTTTTTAAAAAACTTATTCATCGTTCTCTTAATATTTCTTTAATAAACATTGAAGATGAAAGCCAGAGTATGATTTTTGGAATGATTACTGAAGGCATGAATGTTCTTTTTCCTCTCACCACTGCTCATTTGGGAAGACAGTGGAACTGACACTAAACGATTTTAACCTGTCCTCTTTCTAGCTCAAAAATTCAAAGGATTTTTTCCAGTGATTCCTACGACAAGTAGTGTCAAAATGGCTAAACATCTTATCTGCAAACGTAGAAAAAGAAACTCAATTATTTTAGTAGTTTTTAGATATTAAACTTTTTGTGGGATGGTTAGTTATGCTATTACACGATTTTGGCAATGTTTAGTTACACCCAGCATATATATATATATATATATATATATATATATATATATATATATATATGTATGTGTGTGTGTGTGTGTGTGTGTATTGATGCATGTTTTATTAAATAATATAGACAAGTGTTGTCAATTTATTTTATGTAAATTCATTTCATATCATCCGATAAGCTTACTAACATTATCATTAAACGAAGAAAGAAAATCACAATATTGAGCCATATTTTTTAATCCTATCTAGGCTTGCATAAGTGTTATACTGGAACACACCTATTCTATAGTTGATAGACTCTCCCACCTATAATAAGTATTAGAAGTAGCAGTGGCCAGTAAGTTGGTCAGTCAGTCGACTGGCTGATTGGTTGAACTCTCTGCCTTCGGGCGGGGAGGAACCCGAGGGAGGCTACGCCGAAGGGCGGATTCTCTTTCGGGGAGGTAAACCGACCCTGAACCCGTTTATACGGGTTCAATGGGCATATTTTTGGCCGAGCCCACGGGCTCGGAGATCCCACGTTAAATCGGCCTTGTGCCACATGATGCCCTCGTGGGGGCGGTGACTAAATATCGTTGGTGAGTCAGTCGATGTCGGACATTAAAGTATCAACCACCACAACTAGATTGCTGCGTCATTAACTATTATAACAAGTTCTTAACGTTATTGTACGTCGAACCTTTTTAGGACCGACATAGGGAAATACAAGCCTCCACTGTGAAACTACTCTATAACAATAAACCATTATCAAAGATGACAATTACATTACAATATATTAAGAAATACACGGACAAAACAGTGATGATAGTCTGTTTCGGTTTATATGGAAGATTTCCAAGCAACGACAAACTCGTGCATATAAGACGATGGAATCGAAAATCGCACCGCAGCTCATGACGTCACCCATGACCACGCGAGAGTGAAAACGAGAAGTATTAAGTATGGGAAGCCGTTGGCATAAACCAATGTCTTCTGTTACCAATTAGAGTTATTTAAGAATATTTGTGGAGATTTCATAGTTTATTTTGTTCGGGTTAGGTTTCAACTGTTTTATGTATATAGCTTCAAGAATTTTTAGTTTTCGTTTATTGTTTTCCTGTTTAAGTATAATTGTGTTTTCAACAAGGATTTTCCGGAATTGTGTATGTTGGTTTTTTGCAAATCGCTAAACTGGCGGAGAACAATCATTGCGAATAATTGAGTTGGATATACTAGATTTAGTGTAGTATATGATTAACTTAATTTTTTTTGCTAGGATCTGTTGTAGATATATTAGTATTTACTAATTTTTTTAGTATATTTTCATCTTGTTTGTAATTAGTATGCATTTGATTACGATATAGGAGATTAATATGTTTGAGATTAGTAGAAGCAGTATTATGTACTATTTGTTTAGTACTGAGATTTCTAAGAAAGCATCTTATTTGTTCATCAACTATATAGTTTGGAAAGTTATTATTAATAAGTGCTTGTTTTATATTCTTTAGTTCACTGTAAAAAAATCTGTTTTGTGGATGAATTAGTTTCTGCACAATGTATTGGATTTTTTATAATTGCTATTTTGTAGTAATATGGGCATTCGCTCTTGTAGTTAAGTATACATAAATTTATGCTGGTAGGTTTTTTGTATGGCGACATAGTAAATTTGTTATTATTTGTGCTTATCAATATGTCAAGGAAGGGAATTTTATTATTAGTATTGAGTTCATACATGAATTTAAGGAGAGAATTATTTTGGAAACGTTTTTGAAGTTAAAGTATTTCATCTGTATTTTTAACTAACATTAGAATAAAATAAATATATCTTAGGTAGATGGATTTTTTTTTAATCTGTAAATATCTTATTTTCGAGGTTCGACATGTAGAAATTGCTAAATGTCGGACCCAGTACTGAACTCATGGAGACACCATCACGTTGTATATATATAAATAAAGGGATTTCAGTAGTACAAGCTAATAGTATGATTAATTTTAAGTGGGGTAAAGATGAGTTACTGTATATATTTCTTATAATTATGTCAATAGTTTCACTGACAGGGACATTGGTAAATAAGTTTTCAACATCAAGTGGAGCTATGATTTCACTGTAAAGTTTTTCAGTTTTTAGGATTAGAATTATCACTAACGTTGACTTAACACTATATTTACTAGGAAGGTAGGGAGTAATTAGTTGGTTAATGTATTTTGTTAGCTGATATACAGGAGTTAGAATTTGCGATATGATAGGACGGAGAGGATAGTTAGGTTTATGTGTTTTGTCGTGCCGTATATGTAACCGGGTCTATAATCACCATCAATATTAGGGAGTTTTAAAGAGTTCTGTTCAGTATTATTAGCATTAATAAGTTTATTAAGCTTTTATTTTAGTTGGTTGGTCGGGTTCTTGTTGAGATTTTTAAACATTATGTGATAATGGAGTATGTGGTCAAGTTTTTTTTTGTTGTAATCCAATTTGTTTAGAATGACGAAAATGTTGGTTTTATCAGCTTTTTTACAATTATGAGAGAGTGGTTGCGTAGTTCTTGTGCTGCAATTTTTAGAAAGTATTTTTAAGGAGTTTCTACTTTTATCATGCTGATCCTTGAATGCCTCAGCCTTAAGTAAGTCTTTAAATTCTGGTGTTGTTTCTCTTAGTTGTTCATCCTGGAGTTTAACAATGTTTTGGTATAGCGTCTCAATTTCTATTTTTTTAAAAAGTCGATTATACTTACGGTATATATGACAGTTAGGTCCCAGGTTAAGTAATTCTTTTTGGTGCTTAATTAGTTCATAGTTGGAAAGGTTAATGAAATTATCAGTTTTGTTAGGAAGATTGATATTACCTTTGTATAATGTATTCAGTTTTTTATAATTTTAAACCGTGAGTCTATGCGTAATTTCCTATATATATATATATATATATATATATATATATATAAAATGTTACCTGACTGAGTTTATCTACGATATCACGGGTAAGTTTCATTAGAAAATACGTCAAAAATTTGGTTTCCTCCAATTTATAGTTGACTAGCA